TTAGTTATTACTACTAGGTTGGGTAAGTAAACTTAACTACGGAGGTAGGTGGTCGTGACGAGGTACGTACGTTAATTTATACTAGTTAGTTTACTTTATAGTAGTAGTAGTCGCTCTACGTAGGTGGTTCGTTGTGTTCTTCTCTCTCTCTCTCTCTCTCTCTCTCTCTCTCTCTCATTCACTGGAATGGTTTACTCTGTATAGGCTTGTGCTTCACTTGAACCAAACTATCAACCTCCAGTCACATTTGTGATTGTCCAAAAACGACATCATACACGACTGTTCCCCAACAACCCTAAGGAGAAAGGGAGTACCGACAAGAGCGGCAATATTTTACCTGGTGCAATTTATCTCCAAAGATTTTATCTTGCTTCTTTTTTTCTTTTTTTGGGAGTAAGATAAAAAAATTACTAAACATATTTTTTATGGTTGCTTCATAGGCACTGTGGTGGATTCGACTATTTGTCATCCTACTGAGTTCGATTTTTACCTATGCAGCCATGCTGGTATTCAGGTAAACATACACTTAATGGAATTTGAAAATATTCCTAGTTTGGTCACTTTTCGTAATTTATTTATGGGAAGACTTTCTGTGTGTGTCCTTGGTAACTTTGCACTATAATGCTCCCGACCTGAAAATCACTTTCAATGTGGGTAAGGGATCCATATTCCATAAAAGCTCCAAACATCTCCAATCATGGTGCTCCATAAATTATTTGGTTTTTCATCCTCCAAATAGTCAGATTTGGTTTTTCATCCTCCAAACAGTCAGATTTGGTTTTCCATCCTCCAAACAGTCAGATCTAGAGCTTGCAGTGCCAGGCCAATTTTTTTTGAGGAAGTTGTTTTCAGAGTGGCTTCTCCAAATAAGATTTGATTTGGAGAGGTAGAACGGCCCCAAATCCACTAGATGCACTGGTTCATTAAAATGGAAGGCCCGGATTTGATTTGGCAGTGTAATATATTTGGATAATGTTTGGAGCCCCTCAATTATTCTTTTTTAGGGGATTGTTTTTGGAGAGTAGAGTGATGCACAACGTCTTCGGGTTTCTCACCCACCTCGAGGGGTTTCCTGAGATGTGGGAAGATTATAGTCTAATATTTCCAGGGTCACCTAGAAGGGGTGTGGTTTGTATAAGGCTGAGGCCCTAAACAATCAAAGTAAGGCGCACCTTTATATAGTATCAAAAGATGTCGTATTAGTACCGAAAATCTTTATGATAGCTTCAAATTTTATTTTTATCTCTAATCATAAAATTTAAAGCTTCAAAAATAGTGTAGATCAAGTATATCTACGAACACTTTAAAATCTTGAATATTGACAGTCTAGATAATGTATTACAAGGTGCACTATTTCCAAAATCTTAAAGTCCATTTTTGTTTTACGTCCATATATCTGAAGGTCAAGATGATTGGATTTCAGCGTTTTTTGGCTTCAAAACAACTTCTTCTAGTGAATTTTTGAGGTGCACCTTAGTTTGATTGTTTACAGCCTCAACCTTATATAAAAATTTTCCCACATAGAATGTCTCACTTCATGTAAATAGTGGAGGATGCTCTTTCCGGATCCAATTTGCATCTCGGCGAAAGGGAGAGAGTCCACATTGGTCCTCTGCGTGGTCTATTTTTTTGAGTTTTATTTATGGAAAGCTAACTTTTGCCAACCTTTTTTATGAAAACCTTTTTGCCAACCTTTTTGGGTATTGCTTATTAAGAGTTGATACAGAGTGGAATGAAGTCTTGGAGAGGCATTTTTATACTGCTTTTTACTGAATTTGGTGTAGTTTTTAATAAACCAGCTTATTAGTGACCATTTTTCTTAAATTTCCTTTTGGAAATTAACTGAAGGTGCTTGGCATTTATCAGGGAACAAGCAGGCCGGCACACTATCATGTGCTGTGGGATGAGAACAACTTCACAGCTGATGGTATACAGTCTTTGACAAACAATCTCTGTTACACGTGAGTGTAAAAAATTAGGGCTCCTGTATATCAATTTTCTTTCTTTTCTGGCTTTTTACAAGCATTTTGTTTATTTACTATAAAAATGTATTTTGTATTGTGTAGGTATGCACGCTGCACACGTTCTGTCTCAGTGGGTAAGTTTAAAGATTTGCACACAATATCTCACTTTGTTGGAAAGATCTCATTTTCTTGACCAAACAAATGCGCTTGTTTGTTGAATTCAATAACAATGGCAACTTGAAGTTTGGTACAAAGATAGGAAAATTCGTTTGGCATGCCAAAATACCCTTAATTCAGTGCATTTTTAGTCAGTGTTGAGTGTTTCTCTTCTAACTTTTTTTAAAACAATTCTTATTGAATTGCATGAAATGGGATGATGTGAATGAAGTTCCTCCTGCTTATTATGCACACCTAGCGGCATTTCGGGCGAGGTTTTATATGGAGCCCGACAAGTCTGAATGTGGGTCTCATGTGGTGGGAGGTGGTCGGAACAATTGTTTGTCAAATCAGTCTGGTGTCCGGCAATTGCCTGCGCTGAAGGAAAATGTAAAGAAGGTGATGTTCTATTGTTGATGATGTGATGTTAACAATGATGGTAATTTTGAAAATCACGGTGATAGTGATGGTGAAGATGATGATCCACCATTTATTCTTTTCATTGTTTAACGTGTTTATGTTTTGTTTATGAAGAGAAAGGAAATGACGAGATTTCATGTCAGCATGTGCCGCAATGCTCCTGCAAATTTTATGTATTGTGAGCTAATATGACTGAATCATGTAGATTTTGTTGACAAAGAATTACAGAAAAGCAAAATAACTATGGATCCGAAGGCTTAGTAACCAGTTGTATGAGATAGTGATATTCTTTATTGATGTCTTGTTCTTACCTTGTCGAAGTTACTATTCAGGTGTAGGTCCAACTCTTTTGGCATTGTGCATCCTGTAACTTCAATTCCAAATCATATCAATATAAAATTTCAAATTAACATAAAACTCAAAAGATTCCCAGCTCCCGTCTGGGCATTTTGTCCATTTATCCCATTGGGCAAAAACGAGTGTTTCAAAACCTGGATTGGTGGGCATAGTATAGTGTCCATATACCCTCTTTGGTAAACCTAGTGTTTCAAAACCTGGATTGGTGGAAAAGATTGTTTGCCCACAGAGTTGTGCTTAGTGATTTGAAAAACTGGATTGGTGACCTTGATTAGCCTATTCACCGATCCGAATCACCATTTTACTATGCAGAAAAAGGAGTGAACCAGCAAAAAAAGCATGTGAAAAAATAGTGGAATTGTCAAAAACCTATCCGGATTGGTGAATAGGCTATGTGGATTGCTGTTTTATTGAAAAGAATCGTTTGCTTTACTGTGCGGAATCGTTGACTCGGTTGTTTTCTTATATATATACATAGAACTAGAATGGGGTGACCGAATCTCGGCTCGGACTGGGCGATTTTGTGCCAATCCAACATATATAAAACAAGGGAGTTTGGGTTTGGTACTTGGAACAAGTAGGGTAGTTTCATCATTTGACTTTGGCCAAATAATTGAGCTTGGTCAATGAAATAAATGCAGCTACCTTATATCGCATCCGATGGCAAAATTAATGCGACCATCCTGTATCAAAGATAAATGGTTTTATTATATATTTTCCTTGATATAAGTACCTCAATAATAAATTTTGGTGAAAAATAGGATCTGGGTTTAGAACGTGGAATTAGTATATCTGGTTTGATTTACTTTACTGGGACTAAATTACCAAAAACATATATAGATGCTCGTTCAAGATTCCAAATATAAAACAAGTGATTAATTATTTTTACAAGCGTGTTATGCTGAGAAGTATGAATGCTAAAAATTTGAGTTTAATCCGATATTAGACAAAATAAATTTAAAATACAATATTCACTATAAAAAAGTAGGACTTATAGTGTAAGATATAAAATAAACGGGAAAAAAAATTTAATATTGAAAAAAGGAGGACTTTTGCTTTCATTTATCTAAAAAAATGTATATAGTTTTAGATCAAAATACTGCCCAATTCTAAAAGGTGCTTCACATTTGAAGACTCCATTGTCCCAAAATGTCTAATAGTGTCCCAAAATGTCTAATGTAACTTAGATATCCATATGGTTTTTGGCATGATGGATGTCTTATGGCCTCCCACGCGTAAGGAGCAACATACTCTTGCCATTAGATATTGCTGAAAACAAAGACAACCTAGCGAGCCCACAGAAAATACTCCCAACCCAAGATGGTAAGCCCATTTAATTAAAATGATTGTCATTGGAAAGCTGGCTCTTTCTCATCTCATTTTCAAAGGGCCTGATTCGAAGAATTCCTCAACATAACGTCCCGCCCTCCATTTCCACCTGTATTGGTAATATATGAAAGAAAAAAAAAAAAGAATTTGATTGGAACAATTCATGCCTTGGTTCTTATCTGAATGGGCAGGAGAAGGGTAGCGTAGGGTCATGGTTTTTTAAACCCGAGCTCAAACCAAATCAGAAAATCTTATTGATCCTATCGACCTTGGCAATTATAGATTTGAAAAAGTAAAAAACAAAAAGATTTTAAGCTCTGGAAATAATATATCTTCTTCAAACCTATCAGGATTGTACTTTTTGTATTCCAATTCAAAATCAAGGGGAAAGTAGATTTTTAGGCATCAGAGTCTTATGACACTAAAAATACATTTTTTGACTTAATTTTGAGGTTTGGCGTTGTTTCTTTTATGAAATCGTCGTCAGTCCTAATGCAACATAAACGTTATACCATATTAATCCCTATTTCTCTATAGGACAGTCAAACGCAATTGGGATTGTCTACAAAAAGACTATTTATCTTTGTATATCGATGTTATAATCATTATTGTCTCTTAAATCTCAAAATGAGTGGTTGTAAGAGTTTCATTGAATAGACACAAGCTTTTAAAAAAAAAAAATCTCAGACTTCATGATTCACTCTAAGCCATCTAATTTAACATCTAATAAGTGGGAATGATTGTGACCCCCATGTATAAAATATAAAAAGTCTCTTTGTAGATAATTCCAAAGCAATCACATATGTTAAGTTATATTGTCTTTGATTTACATATGGGTGTGGTTTCCATAAGGTTGCAACCTTAAACAATCCAATTAAAGCGCGCCTTCAAATTTTATCATAACAAATAATTTTGATGTAGACTATTATTAAGATTATCTTAAAATTTGTTTTTATATCTAATTATAAAATTTTAAACTCAAAAAATAGTTAAAATCAAGTAGATCTATAAACATATGAAAATCTTGAAAATGGACGGTCTAGATAATGTGTTGTAAGATGCACTATTTATGGGACTAAAATCCTTTTTTTTTCATAGTCATACATCTCGACATCATACATCTTGATGTCGAGACGATCAAGTAGATGGTTTTTCAACATTAAAACAACATATTTTGATGGATTTTTGAGATGCATATGTAGTTCTACATTTTAAAGTTGCAACCTTATATAAACTCTTTTTAAGGTTCCACACGATTATGGGCTCATTTATAGTAGTCTAATGGGACAAATATGTGCATTTGCTCCCATGCATGGAATAGGTGACCTAAAACTTTATTTTAACATCTTTCAACAAATCTTGAGTTACAAAAAGGGGGATTGAGCTCAAAATTCCCTATATGTGACCTTTGCAGTTTATATCAGTTTTGGAGCGGATTTTGATGATTGGCACTTGCTGAGATGCAAATGCTCTTTTTCCTTTTTCAATTAAGAGTGTTATAAACATGCATGAGAATCTGGACCTCATCAAATACCCCAAGCAAGGATTCCGTCTTGCGCATGATTAATGAGGTTTTGATAATTGCTACTCTATTTCTCAAAGTTTGAATCTAATTACTATTGATACTGAAAAATTAAGACGGGAAAAGGATAACTTAGCATTTCATGCATAGTCATCAAGACTAGACTAGTGATTCGACTAGTCGGATTACTGACTTGTACCTTAGCGGCTTTCGTCTAACATAAAACTTGAATTTGGTACAAAAAATATTTCAAAATCAATATTTAACTAGTTTTAATTGGTCCCACCAACCAATTTTAACTCATACAACCGGCCAAACAAAGTGCACAACTTTTTTTCAAATACATTACATATCTTTAAACTATTAGTCATATTTTTTTTATATTTTTAAATCCAATCAAAGAAGTTTGATTGGGGCCAAATTGGATAGAAGAAAAACCCTCATTGGTTATTTGCCCGTTTAATCTGTTTAATAATAGTAATTAATCATTTTCATAAAGAGGGAATCAAATTTCCAATCACACTCGAGTTTATTGTGCATGTAGTGAGATGGATATAGAGGACTTTTGTTGTGCACCTTTTGTTGTAATTATTATGTCATGTATATTCTTTATATATCAATACAATGAGCGGGGCACCCGCTCAAGGTCAAGGGCAAGATTTTTATATATTTTCTAATGTATACAACTCACATACTTCTTTCAATCTATTCATTTATTTTTAATGGACGGCTGAGATGAGTCAAATCATAATGTCATGTCTCTACACTATTTTTTTTCTATAAAACATGTTTATGTCAAATTTTGGGCTCCATTCCTCTCTTAGATTCTCACAGTAAAAATATATAAAAACAATATTTTCAATAAAATAAAATAACCAAAATACCTCTAAAAGTTTAATATGTATGGTAGTCATTGTATTTTATTGAAAATATTTTCTTAATATGATTTATATGTGGGTCCCATTGAGATGATCGTATATACCAAATTTCATATTCACATGATTTGTATAAACAAAATTAAAAATAAAATATTTTAAGACATCAGATCTAGATCAAATGATTAGTGGCTCACTTGACCTAAATTGGACGGTTGGATGGGGGCAATATATACCTTCTATAGAAGAGGGGAAATATAGAAACATTCCCCCGGCTGAACCCCTTGCTAACTTTGTAAGAAAAAAAAAAAGCGTTATAATTATTCCATCTTAACATTGAAAGCTGATTTTTCAGTACTTCCCACCTAGGTTTCCTCCACTTCGCTAGCACCATCCCAACCATCCGATGTCAAAGGCAGTTCGGGGTGTATAATTTTGTTAGCCGTCCGGTATCAGCAATGGTTGATTGGATTGTATTCTTCCACTACTTTTTTGACATGAGATATCTCAACCATTCGTGATCAACATCGCCTGTTTTGGGAGGGGCAACTGAACTCCAGGGAAGCCAAGTGCTAGCATATAATACTTTACCATAATAAGTAATGAATTGTCTTCAAAGAGGTTACAATCAATTTTTTTCTCTTTAATTTTAAAATAGATAGTTGTAAAGTATTTTTTATTAGACACAAAGTTCTAAAAACAAATTTCTCGAACTTCGTAACTCACCACAAGTCATCCAATTTGATATCTAATGAGTGAGAAAAGTTATGACCTTCTTACACAAAAAGTAAATGGTCTATTTGTAGACAATCCCATAAGTAATTGCAAAAACCTTTAATCACATAGAACTCATCACTTAAGGGTTAAAATTATCTAAGGGGAAAACATTCATATTACCACCATAGAAATTTTTTTTAACTTTTAATTTACTCAAGTACTTCTTCAAAAAATATTTTTAAAAGTATTCAATTGCTAAATTTTTTTTAACTTTTAATTCACTCAAGTACCTCTTCAAAAAATATTTTTAAAAATATTCAATTGCTAATATTTATGGTTGAGAAGCTGAAGAAATATAGACATTCTAATAATTTAACTACCTGAAAATCCTTAACCAATGATAAGAGTACCCATATTTGTCCAAAGTGGGTCAAATTATTTAAATGGCCTACTTATTCAGGGTTCTCAACCCTGAATAAGTTGCCATTTAGACATTCTTTATGATAGTTTTTCAAGAGGTACTTAAGTGATATGAAAATCAATACTAAACCCTCAACTCTTAATTGAGATATATTGAACCTCCTTAGATCTAAGCACCTTAACAAAATGGATGGATTATTTTGATTGGGCTAAAATAACACTCTCTAGGGTGCATCCTTTTTTCTTTTTTTTTTGATTGTTCAATGAAATGAAAAGAGTGTCCATATAAAAATTGGGATAAACAAATAGCACTAACATAGTTTTTTAAGGTTGTTGTATTATATTACTATACAATCGTTGTATGAAATCATTCCCCGGTCTTATAGTATAAGATCCCTTTTTTTTTGGGTAGATTAGTGTGGGAGAAGGCCCTCAACCCGTTTTTCATTAATAAAAGATAGAAAAAAATTACATCATACTATTGTACAACCCTATAAAAAAATTACATGATACTATTGTACACTCCTACAATAGGGTAGATGCGCCACATCATGAAGTAAAAAGAAGTTAAGAAAATCTGAAGGCCAGGAGCGCCAAATAATTGCCTCCCCATAAACTCTACCCAGCAATCCCATTTTAAAATATTTAAAAATTAGTTTTGGTTAAATTTCCCCGTCATACTTCCCCATATTCGAAGTACCATTCTCATACAACTTACTAAAAGGATTATCGTAGCATAAATTCCCCCACAAAGATCCGAAATATACGATAAAAAGGCATATATAAATAAAGATAAGTGTTATATACATGAGGGATGCATAACTATATTTGCACCTCCCAAGACATCACACATTTGTCTTTAAGATGAATGTAGATTGGTGGTCCTTCTAAAAGAAACTAAATAACGGCTGTCTAAAAATTTTCCCAAAAAATTATCATTTTTAGTTTTTAATTTTTTTTACATATTGACGTTCTCTTGTTCGAGACTGTAGACCTTGAAAATTAAGCTCAAAATCTATCTGAAAATAAATCACGATGAAGAGCCGCTTATCTACATATGAGTCCTAGGACTTGTAAAAACTGAGTCCCGTAAATAAATGGTACTTTGTTGTATTCTAGATGGAAGAAAGGAACCAGTTTCCATTTTAAACGGGGAAGGACCACTGTTTTCCGAGGTATCCAGAAAAGACAGAGAGGCTGGATCACGATTTTTCCTGTTAAATAAGGCAACCGCAAAGAGACATGAATAACGCAACGCAGGACCACGAGTTTTCCTTTTTGCCTTGGTACTTTTGTGTGGACGTTAGTTGTGCGGCACTAAACGATCATGTGGACCGCAAACATGATACTTGTAATTGGAAGTTTTTTTTCTCCCCTTTCTTTTATAGTACGTTTGGCGGGTCATCCTCGGCATTAAAACTAATTTCATGTTTGATACTGGGGAATACTGGCCTGGTTAGGTAGTGTTTTGAAGGTGTTGGGTTGAGGTCCTTTAGGGGGATGCATAGTTTAACTTCAGTTCATGAAATCATCCTAGACCTTCCCAAACAAGCACCCTCATAGACTTTCCCACCCAAGCTCAAGCTCAAGCTCAGGACACCTTCCAAAAAGACCTAAACCTACCATAGTTGACCTTAAAACCTTCAACATTTAGAAATTCCCAGTGGACATGGGAGGACAGGCGATGCGGAACTGTCATGGTGCCGGGGTCTATTGAGCTCTACCAATAAGATTTAGTCGTTGGCATCTAAGCTTGATACGTGAACATACAATAGTTATACGTAGATGATCGATAGCCCAGATTAAGTTGGGCTGTAAATAGGGCCTTCATCCTAGATTTTACCGGACCGGGACTTAGTGAATTTAGGGAAAGCCCTGCTGCATTGGAGACCCAACCCCAAACTCTAGAAACCCTAAAGAACCAAACCCTGAGCTTATCCTAAAGCCCTTTAGAGACCTACCCTGGGACACATCCACAGACCCTAGACCTAGATGTTCCCTACCGAAACTGCATTCGGCCAAGGACAATGTCTCATCCTGTCCCAGCTGACTCTAGAACTGAGAGAGTCAGCACTTCAACCTCGACTATAAGCCAAGCCACCAACTCCGAATGCCGGGCTTGTAGGCCAGGCTTACAAATAGGTCTATCATTTCCTCACTTTTTTTCGGTTAGCTGGGATGTTTAGCTTAGTGTAGTTTAACTTTAGTTCTTTTTTTAAAACCGTCTTCTAAAATCTTCTTCCTTTTCCACCTAAAACTTTCGAAAAACCTCTTCTTCGTAGATTCTCAATAGACCCCGACACCATGACAGTTCCGCATCGCCTGTCCTCCCATGTCCACTGGGAATTTCTAAATGTTGAAGGTTTTAGGTTAACTATGGTAGGTTTAGGTCTTTTTGGAAGGTTTAAGGGTGTCCTGAGCTTGGTTGGGAAAGTCTATGAGGGTGCTTGTTTGGGAAGGTCTAGGATGATTTCATGTGGAATAAAAGAGAGCAGTCCTTAGGCTAGACTATCTAATGGACAACAATTTGATGAAGCCCTTGATCTTTCACTAATCGACTCCGCTCTTGTTTGAGAGCATTGCCGCAGTGGCCCAAGTGTTGTGCCGTGCCTCGTCGACTTCGAGCGTCCATTATATATTAATTAGCAATAATTAAAACACATGAAAGCTATTAAGTTTTTACTTAATTAAATTGACATTTAAATTATTTCTAATTACTTTTGGAAATCAATTTTTTACATTAAAGGGATGACTTTGGAAATTTTTAGAACTTTGACTTTGGAGAGATGCTCTGGAATCTAAATGTTTTAAAATTAGATAGACAAATCTACGTATAAAGAATGCAAGTTTAGTAATAATAGGAGTATAGACAAGGAAGTTGTTAAGATTAACGTCTAAGCAATATATAAAAGAGCCCACTTTCAATATCTTTAGTCAATAATCTAGGAAAATGGAGAGATTGAGGAAGATTGTCTAACAGAAAATTAGAGCTCATTGGGCGAAATGGAGAAGAGCAACTGGAATTTTATTTGATCGCCGCATATATACCAATGAAGCTGAAGGAAAAATTCTATAGGATAACTATGAAACCAGGTTTACTTTATGGGGTAGAATATTGGACAGTAAAAAAAAAAATACCGAGAGAGTTAGTATAACGGAGATGAGGATGAGATGGATGAGTAGCAAGACAATGATGGATGAGTAGCAAGACAAGAAAAGATAGAATTCAAAATAAATGCATTTGAGACAATTTAGTTTATAACAATACGTAAAAAAGATGAGAGAGACCAGACTTAGGTGGTTGGCCATATGTGGCACTCACCTAGTACAACCCCTCTTAGAAGGTGCAAGTTAGTTTAAGTAGAAGGCTAAAAAATGGTAAGAGGTATGCCAAAAAAGACATGATTGAAAAAAACGAGAAAATATATGAAAAAAAGACATATCAAGATTGGTATAATTGATAATTAGTTGGTAAAAAACCCTTTGACAATGATAATGATGATTTAAATTGTAAAGTTAAATATATTCCTTTAAACTAAGTGAACATTTATTGGACGATATCAATGAGAACATCATTTGTTACTAAAACTACATTAGAACTTTTGGCGGTTCATTCTATATATTAAATCCCAATTAGGGTCAGCACACTTGACATTCATTTGGATGAGATATCTAATGAAGGAGTGACATTCTTTTGGATGAGATATCTAATGAAGGAGAGGGATTAGAGTAGGCAGGCTACAAAGTGTAAGTAAACAATGTGAAAATCATGATCGTTACATTTGCATTACAAATGCTTGTACCAGATATGAAATCACTTACAGGAGATGTACAGTAATAGTAAAGAAAGATTAAAAATTCAAAAAACAATATTATATGGTTAGTGATGAGTATGACTGTATTTTTCATTGGTGGATGGTGTGGAATAGAGAGAGAGGGGAAAGAATTTCGGTATGGGATCTTTTGACTCGTTACCATCACTATGGTTTTTTAACAATGTAATCCACTTAGCAATTATTCTGGTTTTTCTTTTTACACAAAAATACATTTTTTAAAAAAATTCAAATATGACTACAACATTGAAATCGAAAGTCATCAACTGGCTATGTGACTTCAGGCGTTCGATATCTAGAGTGAGAGCAAAAGTTGAGAGAAAATAAAAAAGGTATTAAATGGATACACACAATTTACAAAAATTAGAATGGATTTTGGCAACTACAACAATTATATCGGATAAATAGGTAAATTTCTCTTCAGTAAGAAAGACAGTAAGAACATGCGGAAATAGGGAGGAGATAAATGGTCAAAATTGGAATAATAAAAAAAAAGGGATAAAATTAGAGATAAAAAGGATATGAAACTAATACATAAGGTCCTCCTCCTACTTAATATATAAAATAGATTTAAAAAACCATACTTTAATAAAAATTGTAGCAAATATATTATCTTTATATATTAGCACATAACAAAATTTTGGGTTGATTACTTCATGGTGTTGGGTTCGGTGATAGCCAAATCACCATGTTCATATTTTCTTCTAAAGATTCAGGGTATTATCGTAAAATAAAAATAGGCTTTATTAGGATGCAAAAAAGTGATATCTATATAACAAATTAAATGAAGACATAATATCATATCTTTTTTAGGGTCACCCGTTTGGGGGTTATGGGAATAGATCTCAAAGATGTAGAAAAAAAGGTATTGATCAATAGTGTTGCTCGATCGGGAGATTGAGTTTAGAAGGGAAGATCGGTGATGGTCTTTTACTAATGTTTAGAAAGAAGTATATCTCTTGTAACCCAAAACTGTAATCTTAATTGAAATAGTGGATTTCTACTTGCGAGCCCGTGGATCTAGCCCTATCTGGTGAACCACGTAAATTGTGTATTCTTGTGGTGTAATTTTTATGTTTGTTTTATTTCTTGCACCCGATTTATAGTTGTAGTCATCTACTTAGTCAATCATGTACACGATCTTGAGTGGGATGTTAGTATTTGGAATTCTTGGTTCCATAAAGGAGGGGTTTCTGAAATCCCTACAATTGGTATTGTAGCATAAAGTGTGCACATGGGTAAAGTTTATATGAAGAAAGAGATTAATGACAAAGTTTGATGGATACATGGTTTGAGGTAAAAAAAGATGAAGGCAAAGTGTTTGTAAAAATTATACAATGGAAGCAAGTGTGAAAAATCAAAAAATCTATCTAATAAAAGTCGCAAAGGTGATTTTGCTATCAAGGTGGAGATTATTAGGTCTGGTGATAGCCAAATCACCATATCCATATTTTCTTCTAAAGAAGAAAGGTATTATGGTAAAATAAAAATAGACTTTCTTAAGAAGTAAGAAAGTGATATCTATATAAGAGACTCAATGGAGACATAATATACTATCCTGTTGAAGGTCACCCATTTGGGGGTTAGGTAAAATAAAAATAGACTTTCTTAATAAGAAAGTGATAACTATATAAGAGACTAAGTGGTTATGGAAATGGATCTCAAAGATGGACATTGGTCTAATATTCCCATGAGTTTTGGGTTGCTAACGCTTCCAAATCTAGAGAGAGAGTCTCTCGGTTGCTCTCAAGGTTATCTTTCTTGTAGAAATATTGCGATAGGAAAGAAAGTATTGATCAACAATGTTGCTCGAGTAAGTTTAAAAAGAAGATCGGTGATGATCTTTTGCTAATGTTTAGAGAGAGGTAGATCTCTTGTAACCCAAAACTATAATCTTTATTGAGATAGTGAATTTCTACTCACAAAAACTGTATTCTTTATTGAGATAGTGGATTTCTACTCACCGAAACCGTAGATATAGCCCTTTCGGGTGAACCACGTAAATCGTGTATTGTTGTGGTGTGATTTTTATGTTTTTTTTTTTTTCCCTCAATTTATAGTTGTATTCATCTACTTTACATTTAGCCAATCATATTTACGATCTTGGGTGGGATCCTAGTATTTGGGATTACTGGTTATACAGGCGAGGGGTTACGGAGAACCCTACACATGGAAATAGGTCTTCCTAATATACTTTACCTAATGTACATTGGATGTGTACATAATCTCAAATCATACAAGGAATTACATTGAGATAATATTTTAATTTTGTATTAGTTCTTATAGTATTTTGAGCTCTCTCCCTCTCTCTTCACACAATACTTTCCTCATTCTTAATTAAACTTTTGATTTTTCTTAAACGAATTCAATCACGTGCATAACACATGCACTTTGATACTTTAAGTAAATCGAACAAAGTCCAAATTGTGTATAGGCGGACAAAAAAGCCGAAAAAGAACTTCATTAAATCTATTGAAAATAACATAAAAATAATAAAAACTAAAATAAAAATAACATAAAAAATCCAAATAAGATGAAAAGTATATATAAAACCTTGGTGTAGAAAAATAAAAAGTGTATATAAGGTGCAAACCTTAGGTTATAAAAATAAAGTGCACCTCTAAAACCTCGGACTTGAACTGCATGGACATGGAAAAAAGGATCTAAATTCCTAAAAATTATGTAACTTATAATACAATATATGAATCATCCATTATCAAGATTTTCAAGAGGTTTGATTAATCTATAGTATCTTTGGAACTTGGACATTTATAATTAGGGGAAAAATAGATTTTCAAGTCATTGTAAGGCTTCTAGTGCCGAGTGCCTTATTTTGATTATTTAAGGATGACACTTTAAAGAAACTCCACCCTTTTAAATAAGGAAAAAGTTTATGAGTGCAAGACTCTAAACCTCAGGATGCATGTGCGTGAGAAAAAAATGGATTTCAACTTTTGAAAATAATACATTTTGTAATGTATTTTTGGACCGTAAATTTTCAAGAATTTAAAGTTATCATAGATCTGCTTAATCTACACTGTTTTTTAAGATTTAAATTTTATAATTAGAGATGAAAATATATTTTGAGGCTATTACAAAAATTTCTAATATTGAAACCATTTTTTTTGACGCTATTTGAAGGTATGATTTATTTTGATTGTTTGGAGCCTTGGTTTTATACAAACTGCACCCATAGAAAATAGGATTTGTAGATGATAATTATTTCATAAAAATCAATAAACATAATAAATAGGGCGAACAACAAGAAAAACTCACAAATCATAATCAAAACATCCAAATTATATATTAAATATACATACAATAATTTTCTAATTTAATATAATTTTATTTTTGAGGTCCACCTTACTTCTATAGTTGAAGGTTGCAACAAACTTGTCTAAAAAAATTCCATATATATGCATAAAAAGGATTATATAAGTCCATAACTTTATGCTGTTGAAATAAGGTGCGCCTAAAAAAATCCTCCAGGAGAAGGTGTTCATTGGAGAACCCTCCAACCCGTGATGTTCAGCTCCAGACGTGTGGCCACAATGAAAAATTAATTTTACATCCTAAAAATAATGGATTTTCAAGTGTTTATGATGTATTCAATATGTACTATTTTAAAATTTTTAATTTTTATAATTAGGTATAAAAATAGATTTTCAAGTCATGTTTCCAACACTAGAACACAAATTCGATAAATGTGCCTTATTGGTGGGCACTTCATACAAACCTCACCGCATAGATATGTAAATTTGCACTTTACCACCGGTGCCCTAAAGGGCGGTCTATGAGATTAATGGAAAGAAGTATGAATTATTTTGGTGTACAATTAACACCAGCTGCGCATCATATTTTGGTTCCGGCAACAAAAAGAGTAAGGTCAATGAAGGGAAGAGTGGGTCTACACCAAATTAAAAGTAAAGTATGACTAAACTTGGGGGAAATCCTAACCTCCAAAGCGTACAAAATTGACTGTAGAAAACACACCAAAGCTTATCCACACAAGCCAAAATCATGGACTTTCTTCTCTCCTCCAAAGGCCAATTTACCAACCCATTTCTTAAAGCTAGAGAGAGAAAGTGTCAATTTCTAATTCTACCTTAGTGAGAGAAAGTGACAAGGCCTGATAATAAAAAAAAAGCCAGAGAGAGAAAACTCTACACAATCGTTTTTTTCCTTTTTTTTTTTTTTGTTTTTTGTTTTTTGTCTCCCATGACTTATGCACACAACAAAAAAAAAACCCAAAAGAAATTAAGTTAGATACCCAAAATGGACAAAAAGAAAAAGAAAATGAAGGGTAACGTATCACAAACTTTATTACCATATATTTTCCAATTTCCCTTTACAATACCCATCACACATCCATCTTTTGATAGATGGCACAATATATTATTAATGAATAATCTTTTTTTAAAAAAAATTGTTATTCAATAATGCGCAAATATATAAATTAATGACTATTTAAATATAGAAACGAGCACGAGTAAGAAGTAGGGACCATTAAATAGCAACCCAAAAAATTTATCATCACAAAAAAAAAACACATTTAACCTTAAAAATGGCTCAAATATGCCATTAGAGTTCTACTAAAATAGAAATGGAAATTGGGATGGAGATCCACAGTGGTTTTGAAATATTGATTTTTGAAATGTGGAGACAGTAACCAAACACTGAAATATTGAGTACAATTCTGAAAAAGTTTATGAATTTTTTCTAGAAACGACCAATAGGAGTCAAAAGGGTAGCATGTACCTTCGCTTCCTAGGGTTAGGGTTTCGTACCATGTACAGCAGACAGGGAAAAGCGAGGGGGAGGGAGAGTGTGTGTTGCCCGTTCCAATTGAGATAGTACAACACATATGCACTGGGGATTTATTATTTATTCCTACGAATAGAAGGTTCAGGTTGTTAAAAAATATGCAGACATGGATGCAATTGTGCCGTGCTCGGTTCCCAAAGCCTAGAGAGAGAAACCAAATAAAATGATACACCACAAGAGTGGTGTCAAAGAACTGCATAAATTTATAATTAGCAAGAATCTACAGAGAAAACAAATGAAATGGAAAGTCATTTCATGTGGGGTGGGGTTTTTGTGCCGAATTCCAAAAACGCATAATGAGAGAGAAACTAATAGTGAAATCCGAATTACCATGAGTGGATATTCTCCTGTTCATTTGGGGGAAGTGAACCTTGTAGCTTTCTCAGGGGTTATGAGGAGATACAGTGCAAGAACCAGCGGATGAAACTGCTCGCATGATCTGATTTCTAGGGTTTTAGAGGAGGGATCAGATCATGCTGGCAGCTTCAACCCCTGATGCTCACAAATCTTTAGAGAGAGAAAGAAACAAACTTTTAGAGAGAGAATAGAGAGTAGAGGATAGAGAATCCGCAGAGAAAGAAGAGTGAGATGAGAACCACCAATACAGGGGGAGGAGAGAGAGAGAGAGAGGGGGGGATAGGCTTTATAACCTCTTCCTGTTGCTTCTCTTCCCCTCACTGTTGTATTCTTTGTAGAGTCTCCCTCCATCTATACCCTGGTGTGGATGGAAATAAATAGGCGGTGAGGAAGAGATGGTTAACGATAAATTAGGGGCTGCAAAGGAAAGCTGCAAAGAGTTAAAACCCTAAAAACGGAGTGGTCCCGAAGAGCCAGGGTGAATTGAATATTAGCAGCCCCCACGCTACCACCATGCAGAACAACCAGGATTTCTAAATTTACCCACCCCCTAATTAATCCTCTCTCTCTCTCTCTCTCTCTACACCTCTCTCTTCAAGATGCCCCTGCACCATTTACTTACTAATTCCAAGTGAAAGGTATCAAGAACCCGGAGGTTGGGACCATTTATTTTCGTCCTATGTCCACCCTGTACGATACACATTTAAAGAGCATCTTCACTTAATAATTTTCCTCACAACACATGTGACACCCCCTCTCTCTCTCTCTCTCTCTCTCTACTATATAGTACGTGTAGTCGTTCTACTACTCGTCGTCGTCTCTCTCTCTCTCTTACTCGTTACGTTCGTACGTTACGTTACGTTCGTTACGTTACGTT